ACTAGTTTACAATCCCACCAACAGTGTAAAAGTGTTCCTGTTTCTCCACATCCTCTCCAGCACCTGTTGTTTCCTGACTTTTTCATGACCACCCCTCTTCTTTATCTTCATGGAGCCTAATTTGGTGGCAGCAAAGGAGTCTATGGTGAAGGTGATGGGCTGGCGAGGCAGAGGATGAAGGTGGGGCTGGGTGATGGGAAAAGCATGGCGACGGGGAGTTGGACAAGGAGCTGTCCTGGCTTCCGGTAGGCACGAGTATCTGGTCGTCAGGGTTGAAACTGCTCTTGATCTCTATGTCCAGCTCTGGGGCCCCGCAGCCCTCACTGTCATCCAGGTACAGCACTTTCACTGCTCCCTTCTCGCCAATCTGGTTGGACACCTCGAAGGGGTCAATCCATATGCTTATCTCCTCAGGCACATTGGCCCGCACATCTTCCACTGCCAGGCCACTTCGCTTGGCGGCCAGCTCCCCAAAGGGGTCCACCATCTCCCCAATGTGGACATGGTGGAAGCCAGAGCCCTTCAGCGGTTTGTCAGGGTACCAGTGGACTTCTTATTTCTTTTTCAGAAGCGCCAGAGCAGCTTGTTATACAAGAGTAGAAAATGATGAAGTTCAGGGGTACTTTGATCTCAGGCTGCATGGTCCTTTCCTAGGCAGAGAATCAGCACAGGGCCGGTGCACAGCCTTGGGCTCCGGAAGGCTTCCGGTCTCCGCCGCGGCTGGGCGCTCTGCCGGCCTCGGGGCGGCTTCTCCCTTTAGAGTGGCCCTGAGCGCGCGGCGGAGGTCGCTCTGTCTTCCTTCCCCGGAGCCGCGCGGCCGGGGGACGAAGTCCTTTTCATCGTCGAGGGTTGGGGGACGAAGCAGGCAGCTATGGGTTATGACTCTCAAAAATAATTCTTTCAGCTCTTACTTAGGAGGTCGGGCGGTTGGGGGATGGAGGGCTGGCGGGCGGCGACCGGGCGGGGAGAACAGACCGGAGGGTGGCCCGTGTCGGGGGGCTGAAGAAGCTCCGGGCTGTGGCCGCGGCGCGATCCTGCCCTCCTGGCCCTGCGTCGCTCGAGCTGCTGGCTTTTCTCCGCGGAAGACCCCCACCTTCCAGCGCCCGGGCCCGAAGTCTATACATTTTTTAAATGTGCATATTCTTTGACGCAGGAATTCTACTTCTAGGAATTTATCCTAGAGACAGACTCACACACGTATTGTATGTAAGATAATATGTGTCTGAAGCTCAGCAGCGTTTATAAATGGAAAGTGATAGGAAATATTAATAGCTTAATTGCCCATCAATAAAGGACTGGCTGCATAATGAAATAGTATGCAGCTGTCAAAATAGAGATGCAGTTTTGTATGTATGGCTACAGGAAAAATTTCTACTATTTCTGTAAAATCCCAGGGCAAAATTATATATAAATATTTGCTTCTACATACCTAAAATATCTCTGAAAGGCTGTATAAGAAATGAAGGCCGGGCATGGTGGCTTACACCTGGAATCCTAGCACTTTGGGATGGAGAGGGGAGCATATTACTTGAGCTCCGGAGTTCGAGACCAGCCTGGGCAACACGGTAAAACCCCGTCTTTACTAAAAATACAAAAATTTTTCAGGCATGGTGGTGCATGCCTGTGGTCCCCAGCTACTTGGGGGGCTGAGGTGGGAGAATCTCTTGAGTCTGGGAGGTGGAGGTTGCAGTGAGCTGAGATCGTGCCACTGCACTCCAGCCTTGGTGACAGCACTCCAGCCTTGGCGACAGAGAGAGACCCTGTCTAGAAGAAAAAAAAGAAATCAATACCTTTGGCTGTTTCTAGTGAATGAAATTAGGTGACTAGTGGTAGGAATAGATTGTATATTTTTATTTAACAAATTTTTATTTTGAAAACGTTTAAATATGCAAAAAACACAGAAAATAGACTAGTGCATATCCAGGATCCCTTAATCACAGTTCTGAAATCCATAAAATTCTAAAAACTCCAAATCTTTCCTCCATAAATTTGGCACTACAATCTATCTGAGGGGAAAACCTAAACTTCTTTATAGCCTTTAACTCATTTAAAGTAACTAATCATAAATCTCAAAGCAGAAATATTGAGGTGTTTGATATGCTCTGAAACTGCTGGAAGTTACATTATATACAGTGTATGCACATTATCTTTCTAAAATTGAAAAAAAAAACAAAAACCTGAATTTGGAAACACATCTGCTCCCAAAGGTTTGTGTATTTTTAACTTAAAGAAAAGATCACAAGATACAAATTTGGAAAAAGAGAGAAAAGACTGTATTTCTTCTTAAGGGTTACAGCCTGCCAGGTGGCCAAACTGCAGGCTGGGAAGCCTTCCTCCGGCCACATCCAGAGACAGGCACTTTGAAGGAGGAGGGGTTGAAGTGGAAGCTTTATACTGAATGAGTTGACCAAACATACATATTCAACAGGTTACTGAAGGAGCTATGAATATTCAGGAAGGGGCCATGACACATGCACATTGAACAAACATGCATGTTACATGTTCACTTTGAAGTGGAGACTTAACATTTGCATGTATTACAACTAGGCTCTATATGTCAAATGGTCACTTTAGGACAGGAGAGCACAGAAGTGCGCAATCTCTGTAAAAGGGCTAGAATCAGTCCATGATTGGTCTTATCAGGAGAAAGCTACTGAAATCAGTCTCATGTCCAATCAAAGCTATAGTTACAGTTGATGGAAGAGGGTACAGTTAGTCAGCATCTAGTGTAGCTGCAAATTGTTTGAATATTGCTTATCTCAGGGCCAGTGCTTGTTTAGCTGCCAGAGAAAAAGGAAAACCTGTGTCAGTTAGAATATAGTTTCTTCTTTAAGTGAAAGGATGCGTGACTTAACCCTTCCCTGGCATGGACTTAGGTCCTGCTTATAATTTGGTATCTTATTGCCACAAAGAGTCTATTCTATCAGTCTAATGATCTCTATTTTAACTTTAATGCTGTTCAGTTGTGTCTAAACCACAAAACGGAGGCGGGTATAATGAGTCGTCGTGTCTGACCTCTCACTCAGGGCTGGGAATTCAGTTTTTAAGTTTTTTCTGGTATCACTTTTGCCACAAGGGGTCTGTTTAGTTGGCCAGGGTTGGGGTGGGGATTGGATTTTATTTCTAGTTTACGTTATATAATGTGTAATGAACATCTATATACTTATCATTTAGATTTTATAATTGTTCATATTTTGTCATATTTAACTCCCCACCTTTCTTTCTCTCTGCTGAAGTATTTTAAATTAAATTATAGACATCATGGCATACCATCTTTGAATACTTCAGTACCCATCCCTAAAAGGTAAGAACATTTTCCTACAGAACTACAATATCGTCATCACACATAACAAAATTTAAAATATCACAGAGATTTTTCAATGCATGCCCTTTTGTACCTCTTATATTTTGAATCCTTGGCTATGTAACTTATTCAATAAATAATAAAATTTAAAATTAAAAATAAACTGAATAAGACCTTTAATACTTAAAATTGCCAGAAAGCTATGGGAGCTGCTCAAGGCACCATTAAGGGACAGGAAAGGATTTATAAGAACAATTTGCCGTGTCTCAAAAAAAAAAAAAAAAAAAGGAAAAAACCGAATCATTATATTTTAATGCCCACCTAAGTTGAGGCTGGTGTAAGTGGGGCTTTCAGCAAGTCAGTACTGACAGAGCATGGTAGGTATGAAAAGTCAATCCAAATCCCAAAGTGTCTATTGCTTTGAAGAAAAGTTTTGTCCTCTCCATCATGGAAAGAGTTGAATGTAATCAATTTACCATCAGGTGACTGGCTGTTTCCACTGTGATATTACATCATATCTAGGGATTAGGATTGGTTTTGGCTCTTGCAAATTGGATTTCAACAGAAAAGCTTTTGTCTTGTTTTTTGAGCCTATGTACGGCCTTCATCATGGCAGGCATGGTCACTATGTTCACAAGTTTCTTGAGCAAATGCTGAAATAGCTGAAAAAAGAGTTGCTGATATCCATAGAGCAGATTGTTAAGCAACAAAACTTGCGTCTGCTTCTCCCAGTGCAGCAAAGCCAAACATTGACACTAGGATTTGCAGTGAGAGAAAGTAAGGCATTTATTGCAGAGCACCAAGCAAGGTTAATGGGCCACTAACACTTAAGATCTGAAATCTTTGTAAGATGGCTTACAAGCAAGAGTTTTTAAGCCATGGATGAGGGGGTTCTCCAATGTGAGTTAAAGGCTGGAAAATTTCTAGGACTTCCTTATCCATCTTCTGGTTCCTGTTTGTCAAGGTCTATATGACAGTGATCAACATTTTCCATCTGGTGGAGGTCTTGGTTTCTGAAAAACAACTCAACTCAAGGACATATGTCAACATGTTATCTTTAGTTTCTATAAGGAAACAAACATCTCATGACTGACTCACTTGAGTGACTATTGTTTGTGCTATTATTATCTTCTTGCTTAGCAGGTTATTAATTTATTTCCCTAGTTACTGGTTGCAGGGTGCCCGGAATTTCCCTTGAAGGGACTTACAATTTTTCCTTTATTTTCAAGCTTAAGGAGGGATCCCAGTAGGCTGTGAAGAGGAGGAGTCCATGTTCTCTTTCAACATCATCTTGTTCACTTGCTTACTGAAACCCTCTGACACAGTAGGTTAATGAAGATTCATATAGGATACAAATATTTGTACATTTGGCATCCATTCTAAGAGATCTATCCACATGCGAGCTAGTTCCATCAATAATCTCTTTGTCACCAATCCTCCAAGTCCTTCCTTCCTTCCTTCCTTCTTCCCTCCCTCCCTCTTTTCCTTTCTTTCTCCCTTTCTCTCTCTCTTTCCTTCTTTCTTTCTTTCTTTCTTTCTTTCTTTCTTTCTTTCTTTCTTTCTTTCTTTCTTTCTTTCTTTCTTTCTTCTTTTCCTTCCTTCCTTCCTTCTTTGCTTCCTTCCTTCTTGCTTGCCCTTTCTTTATTTTTCTTTTTTTGCTTTATTTCATTTTAATTTTTTTTAGCTTATGGCATAACCCACAGCAAAGTTAGTATCTCAATACGTCTGCTTCTAGATTCAGGTAATCCTCAACCTTTTGGACTGATTTTGCAGTCAGTATTTCTTGTCTTTGAGTTGGTATGGCATTTTCAATATTCACTGGGGATTTCCAATTATAAGTTAAAAATAATCTCTTCTGTCCCAGGACACTCATCAAAGTATTGCTATAGTGGAATCTTCCCCGAAACAGACAAATGAAAGCTAGTCTCTATCAGGGCTGTTTAACCACTGTGAAGTCCAATGTGCTGCCCACTTGACTCTGAGCTGGAGCCTGCCTGAGCCCTATAGTTGACCCACTTAGCAAACACGTATAAACCAGTGAGAGACCCTAACCAACTGCCAGTGAGACATTTAAGAACTTTCAACAAATGTTAAATCGCGTTTACTTGTCACAGATGGTCATCCAAAATGGAAAAGAATAACATATTTAAATAGTCTATTCAAGTCCAAGAGAAGTTGAGCATTTACTCTCATTTCATAGTTTGTTAGGAAAGTTTGTAATGAGGGATTTGCAAGTGAACATGTTATGGTGGAAAAAGTGATGTGAATTTTTGAGCAAATTTTCTGCATGTTAGTGCTCTTGATGATTATATACTTATCGGATATTTGAAAGAAATAGAAGTAAAGCATAAAACTCAGGTTTATTTAATGCCCTCAGAAGGCTAGGCTGAGGAAAACAATAAAGAAATTTTCGGAGCTACTACCGTTTTGGAGTTTAAACAGATCATGGAGCCTCCATTAACACACAAGATACTTTCTTACTGCTTTAATAAAATAAATGATAAGATTCTGTTAAAACAAACAGAATATAGTTTAATCTATGTAACATCATCATTCTAGTTGGCATAGTAAAACTGATGAATGACTAACAGCACCTACAATTAGGCTCTTTTGTACCAATAAAGTTTATTTAAGGCTGGGCATGGTGGCTCATGCCTGTAATTCCAGCACTTTGCCAGGCCGAGGTGGGAGGATCGCTTGAGGCCAGAAGTTAGACACCAGCCTGGCCAAGAAATCGAGACACTGAAATCTACCTCCCCCCGCCAAAAAAAAGCTGGGCAAGGTGGTGTGTGACTGTAGTCCCAGCTACTCAGGAGGCTGAAGCAGGATTGCTTGAGCCAGGAGTTGGAGTCTGCAGTGAGCTATGATGGTGCCACTGCACTCCAGCCTGGGTGACAAATTTATTTAATTGGTTTTGGTTTGATTTTGTATTATCATATTATTACTAAAACTCCAGAAAACTTTTATAGCAAAAACAAACAAACAAACAAAAAGAAGAAAGAAAGAAAAGGAGAGGAGGATAGGAGAAAGGCAGGAAGGGAGGGAAGGAGGTAGGAAAAGAGGAAGGGAGGGAGGAAGGAAGGCAGGCAGGCAGGCAAGCAGATGCCTAAATAAAGAATACGTAGGGGCCTGGACAAATAAATTGCTTTATGGACTATTATGCACCCATAGAATAAGTTAGACCTACATGATGAGTAAAACTGTTTAGGATATATGAAGTGAAAACGTTAAAATAAGCGGGGGAGAAAAGGCTAAATATAAAATAATGCCGCCGTGTGTGAGAGGATCACAATGATATACAAATTCCAGGCTAACGGTGGCAAGTGGCTGCCTCAGGGAATGGGACTAAGGAGGGGTAGGTGGGGTTTGACATTTTACTTTATTAATTTTGGTATTGTCTGAGGGTGTTTTAAACCATAAATAATGTATTAATTTTAAAAATGCTTTTAAAATCAGCATTTTCAATAGTTAACGGTCTATGCTTCATCAACGTTTTCCGTTTAAAACCTGTGTGCGGCCCATACACGTATGACATTCTGTTTATGTGATTCACTGCTGAAAAAGAACTGGACGCCAGGAAATTAGGGGTTGAGTCCGAGGCAAGGTGGACGCCGGACAACGAGACACGGAATCCTAGACCGGCCCGGAAGTGCCTCTGCTCGTCCGCCTTCGAGGAGGGGTGGGCATCTTCCCCGCCCGACCATTGTTCGTGCAGCGCGCCTAGCAACCCCGGGCCGGTAACCCCTTCTCCCTCCTCGCGCGTTCCGGGTCTCGTGAGTTGGCTGTGGGGGCCGGGAATGGAGGAGTGTTGGGGAGGGTGGGGCTGGGAAAGGGGTGTGGAAAGTGAACCTCAGCCTCTGGGAAGTGGGAGACGGAGGAGGGGGCGGCGGTCAGTGCCGGCCGGCTTCAGGCGTCCCCTAGACCAGGGTGGTCATCCCCAGCTGTGGGGACATTGTACAAGAAAGGGTTGTAGGAGGACTGCGAGGCGAAAGAGTCACCTCGGTGAATAACGACAACAGGCTTAGGACTCAGGGAAAGAAACCCCCGGGAGAGGAAGTTAAGGACAGTTAAGACTTTGGCAGCCTTCAAGATGGAGAGCCCGTATACCCTCTCACCTCTAGATTCTAAAAGCAAATTAAGGGGCGTTGAATGGACTGGTTTTAAAGTGCAGAATGTGACAGTTCCCGATTTCCTTAGTTCTTTGATTCTCAAACCTTATAATACATACAAATCACTGAGGAGCCCGTTAAAGGTGCATATTCTGGGGCTCCCTGTACTTCTCTCCACCTCCCAATTCAGATTCCCCAGATGTCTGCCACAAAGCCTGTCAAGCTGCAGTTAAGCTGCTGCGCTGTGCTTTCTGACATTTTGGAGACCCACATTTTGGGAACACCCCCGGGGTTTCAGGCGCTGCCCGGGTCTCTGGAGAAAACTTCTCCCTTGGGCTTCTTTGGCTTCTTAGGCTTCTTAGGATTGTCCTCACAAAGAAGTTGACCTTGGGCAATCTACTTAACTTTCCCTGGCTTCCATTTCTTATCTAATGAAATAATTATTACAATAAAACTTCAGTGGGTAATTGTGAGGATGAAATATGGTGTTGTATCTGAAAGCGTATTGTAGACTTGTGCAATGTTGACTGTTACTCTTAAGTAGCAGCAGGGCGGTGTGGAAAGCTCCAGGGCTTGGAATCCACCCAAGCCTTTCTTTCTGTAAATTTAGTGTAAATAATACCAACTTTAAATGGTTGTTTTGAAGATTAATTTAAGAAAACTGAAGTAAATAGTAAAGTAAATGTTGGTTCATTCATTTAGTCGACAGTAATAGTATTTCCATTTATTCTTTCTCTAATTTGATGTTTATACAGTGAGCTCAAACTTTTTATTCAGACTTTCTGAGTGATCTGTGCAGTCCCTAATTCATGGGCTGTTTTCCTCCACGAACTCTGTAAAGTATTATTGCTATTTCTTTTTCACATAAAGAAACAAAGACTGAAAGAAGATTTAAAAACTTGGCACAAGGTCACACAATTAGTAAATGTTAGGATCAGAATAAAACCTAGGTCTGGGTCAGGTGTGGTGGCTGACACCTGTAATCCCAGCACTTTGGGAAGCCAAGGTGGGAGGATCGCTTAAACCCAGGAGTTTGAGGTTGCAGTGAGCTGTGATTATGCCACTGCACTCCAGCCTGGGAAACAGAGTGAAATTCCCCATTTTTAAAAAAGAAAGAAAGAAAGAAAACCCATATCTGGGTAACTTAAAAGCCTATACTCTTTGCACATTATGAATATATATATATTTCCATTATTTCCATCCCAAATCACTTTTCAGAGGAGAGCTTTAGGGCCTATGATAAATGCTTATATTATCAGTTTCTGTCATCAGTTATTGTCATTTTACCATATAAATAATTTATTTTTACTGCTTAGGCAGGCGCCTCCAAGGTTTGTCTTGCAGCATAGCTGCAGTTGGAGGGTACCTTTTAAGCTGTTCAAGGTCAAGATGAATACAAACTCAAAGGAGATTTTATCCCTGGGTGTTCAAGTTCCCCAGGCATGGGAAGAACTTCTGACAATGAAAGTGGAAGCAAAAAGTCACCTCCAAAGGCAGGAATCCAGACTGAAACGCAATAATCCACTGGCAAGGGAAATCTTCCGAAGGCACTTTCGACAGCTGTGCTACCAAGAGACCCCTGGACCAAGGGAGGCTCTTACCCGACTCCAGGAACTTTGCTACCAGTGGTTGAGGCCACATGTGAGCACAAAGGAGCAGATTTTGGATCTGCTGGTGCTGGAGCAGTTTCTGTCCATCCTGCCCAAGGAGCTCCAGGGCTGGGTGAGGGAACACTGTCCAGAGAGTGGAGAAGAGGCTGTGATTTTGCTGGAGGATCTGGAGAGAGAGCTCGATGAACCACAACATGAGGTAGGAAGGGAGATTTGCTAGAGAAAAAAGTGTATTTTGGCATGCCAAGAATCCTTGTATCCTCTGCTTTGTGTCTCCTTGACATTGGTGACAAAATACTCTCCTTCCTGTTTCCTTCTTTTTTGGAAGTGTTTATTTCAGATAGTTAATTTCTTCAAAAGTCAAATCTTGTCTTTTTGTCTCCAGATGGTAACCCACAGACACAGACAAGAAGTCCTCTCTAAAGAGATGGTGCCTCTAGCAGAGCAGACACCACTGAGCCTTCAGTCCCAGCCCACACGTGACTCTGCTCAGAAGTGCCATTCTATTGGAGAGACAGGTGAGGGACAGCATTTATTTGATGTTGAACAAATCTCGCCTGGTCAAGCAAAAACAAACAATAAACCCAGAGCTGGGAAAACAGGAGATCCAAAGACCCCTTACCAGATAGCAGCAATGTTCCGTGCTTCTTAGACCCTAGTGTGCTCATCTTTGACCCTTCTCCCTGTGTGCAGACTTCTCTCTGAGTACCATCCTGGAAGCTCTCTGGACTTCTGATGCATGGTACATGAGGAAGGCTTTCAGGGATCGCTGTGGAGCACAGCTTCAGAGAATGGACTTCAAGGTTTGACAGACAGGTTCAGATCCTGGCATCGCCTCATGGAAGCTGCTTGTATTGGGCAGATTACTTAACCACTTGACCTCAGATCCCTCTTCTACAAAATGGGGTTGATAATAGCTTTGGTTTAGTCTACTTGCGCTGCCTTAAGAGAATACCACAGACTGGTTGTCTTTAACAGAAATTTATTTTCTCACATTTCTGAAGGCTAGTAGTCCAAGATCAAGATGCTTTCAGGTTTGGTTTCTGGTGAGGCCTCTTCCTGGCTTATAGATGGCCATCTTCTTGCTGTATCCTCACATGGCCTTTCTTTGTGTGCATACAGAGAGAGAGCAAGCTCTCTCATCTTCTTATAAGGACAGATACTATTCCTACCAGATAGAGCCCTACCTTATAACCTCATTTAACTTTTAGTACCTCCCTCAAGACCCTATCTTCAACTATAATCATATTGAGGGTTAGGACCTCAACATATGTGAGGGAATACAATTTAGTCCATAACCAGTATGTACCTCAGAAAGTCATTGTGAGCATCAAATACAAACAATTTCTGAAAAGCACCTGGCATGCATTATGCTTAATACATGGTCGCTATTGCCACAAATCACCGCTGCCACCCTTGCTGATTTGGGTTCATAGTTGCAGTAGAAAGATATGAGATATGCTTAGTAAGTGGCAGACTGTATGAGAGAATCCAGTGAAATCAGACTTTACCATTTCCTTCTCTGTAATCTTCTGAATGGTGGCAGTGGCCACCCTTGTGGATATAGATCTGAGCACTTGGGACTGAGTCAGCTGCTTCCCCATTCTAGCCCTCCCTGCAGGAATTATCTCCAGCTTGTCTGATTTCCCACACACAAAATCATACCCTCTTACTGACTTTTTGTTAATCTTCTGACAATCAATCTGTAGCAAGGTTCTGCTGTTTTCAGTTTCATATTACCCCCATATGTATCAAAGCTGCAAATTCCCTTGCCTCTTTGTCTCTAGCTTCTATTTATTTCATTTACCGTAGCAGTTATGGATTTCTGTTACATGGAACACATCTCTCGATTTAAATTAAAGTGTATGTGTTGAGTAAATTCTGTGCAGACCTTCCTGTAGCTCCCATGACTTTATCAGATTAAAATTGCTTCTGATATCATTTTTCCTCTTTATGAGCATCTTTCCAGTCAATTAATTTCTTTCTTCTTCCTCTCTCTATGAACTTGGACCTTTTATTTTCTAGCCACTTCTTTTCTTCTACCTTCCAAACTGCATCTAGAACCCTGCTGAGAACCCCCTTTTCCAAGAAGCACGTCTACATTTTCCATCTGTCCACTCATCTATCCATCTATCATTCAACAAGTGTTTATTACGCATCTACTATGGCTGTAGGAGAGTATCCAGAGGGCATCTAGAGATTGTAGAGTTCTCCTTGTAGAATATCAGTGCAGGTATGTGTTACAAATTTAGGTAAAGCCAATATTATAAAACAACATAGTGTTTGAAATTACAAGGACCAAATTCAAGTTCCAGCTTTTCAAATTCTTAGTCAAGCAGTATTTAATAGGTAAGTTTGAGTTTCTTTTTAAGTAATGCTGATTATTTAAAAATCCAAATAATACAAAAGTTTATATAGTAAAAAATGAAAGTTCTGCACATCCTACTCCCTAGAGGTAACTACTCTTGTCATTTTGCTGCATATTTTCCAGATGTTTCTCTCTATAGTCTGTTTACCCATATATAGGTATCTTGCCATATTTTTCTATAGTTCTTTAAAGAGATGAGATAATAACATCAAGGAGTTTTGTGGTGAGTCAGTTTGATAATATATTTGAAAGTGCTTCATAAGTCATGAAAGTTATATAAATGGTAATCATTAAAAGGTGGGAAATGTCTGAGTTTTTATATTCTACCCAGCTCCCTTATGGATTTCACATTTAATATGAAGTTTGAGCAAAAGGGCACTACTGATCCCACTTGGGGCGCATCTCTTCTCTACAGGCACATTTTTATTTTCCAAACCTGTTGTGATCCCCCAGCTAAAAGGAGGAGGAGAACCACAGCCTAACAACAGAGGAGTCCTAAGAGGTACTTATTCTTGTGTGTGAGAGACAGGACAGTTAGATGTGGGAGAAAGAGGCAAATATTTTGGTCAAAAGAGGAGGTCTGGCTCTGTTGTCCTTGGCCTTTTTCTGGGTTGCAAAGTGAAATCAGACCTGGGGAACCCAAGACATCTAAGGATACCATAGCATCTGCTCTTTAGTATTTAGACAGTTTGGGTCTGTTTCTCTCCATTCTTACCTTCAATTCCTCCAAGCAGAAAGGGTTTGATTGGGTTGGCTGGACACTGTTCATTATGGACCAGTCCTGTGTGGCAGCCTTTGCTCCAGATGCCAGTTCCTGGGCCAGTCGGTTGAGGCCATAGTAGTAGAATTGGTTTCAATCTTTTCCCTTTTATTTGTTCAATCATTCAACAAATATTTTTTGAGCAACTGCTGTGTGCCAGGCATGATTCTCAGGGATAAAACAGAAGGATCCTCCTCTCATAGAGATTAGATTGTAGCAAGAGGGAGACAATAATAAATATAAAGGTAAAGAGATGATACAGTGTGTTAGAAGGTGATGAGACTATGGAATAAAGCAAAAATAGAACAGGATAAGGGAGATTAAGAGTGCTATGGATAAGGCAAACATCATGATATTAAATAGAAGAATTAAGATAGACCTCATTGAGAAGGTGAGTTGAACAAAGACTTGAAGGAAGCGAGAGAGTGGGCCTTGCTTTCATTTGAGGTGAGAAGTTTCCAGGAAGAGAGAAGCACTAGAGCAAAGGTCTTATGATGGGAATGCACCTTGGATAGTTGTGGATTTGAAAGTCATATAATATGGTAGTCCCTACTATTTAAGGGGATACATTCCAAGACCCCCAGTAGATGCCTGAAACCAAAGCAAACACTGAATGAACTCTGTAATACTATTTTTTTCCTATACATACCTAAGATAAAGTTTAATTTATAAATTAGGCATAGTAAGAGATTAACAACAATAATAATAAAATGGAACAATTATAATAATATGCCAGCCTCACTAGTTTTGCACTTTGGGGCCATTATTAAGTAAAATAAGGGGTATTTCAACACAAGCACTGTGACACTGCAACAGTCAATCTGATAACCAAGATGGCTACTAGGTGTGCAACAGGCAGGCAGCATGTACAGAGCGGATATGCTGGACAAAAGGAGGACTCAATGTCCTGGGTGAGACAGAGCCAGATGGCATGAGATTTCATCATACTAGTCAGAATGGTGCCAAATTTAAAACTTAAGAATTGTTTGTGACAGGCACGGTGGCTCATGCCTGTTGTGCCAGCACTTTGGGAGGCCAAGGCAGATGCATCATGAGGCCAGGAGTTCAAGACCAGCCTGGCAGACATGGAACTCCATCATCCTACAAAATACAAAAAAAAAAACTAGCCAGCATGTGGCATGTGCCTTTGTATCCAGCTACACAGAGAGGAGGAGGACATGAGAGAATGCTCGAACACCAGGAGCAGAGGGTATGCAATGGAGCCACAACGACACACCACCTGCACTGCAGCTGCGAACATAGTCGGAGGCCTTCGCTAAAAAACAAAAGAAAAAGAATAGGTGACCTCCTGAATCTCCATTTAATATATTCGAACCTGGTGTTTGCTTGTACGAAACTCTTGAGGGGTAAACAACAGATAAAGATGCACTACTAGAGAGACCATGCCTGAAAGCACCTGATAAGTAGACAAGATATCCATAATAAATACAAAGAGATGCAGATAATACTTGCATATGAAAAAGGAGTCACTTAGACGGTTAACAGAAGGAGAGGACTAAAGGGAACTACCAGAGAGCCACCTGATCCTTACCCATAACTAAAAAAAAAAAAAAAAAAATACAAACCAACTGCGACAAGGCTCAGCCTTAATTCCAGCCATTTGGACAGGCACCGAGGGGTGGCGACACCCGAGGTCAAGGAGTTCGAGACCCAAAGGATATACCAACAACAATGGCAAAACCCCCCGTCTGTACTCAAATACAATTAAGTTGGCCATCCTGGGGCGCGCCGCCGCTGTAAGTTCCCACATACATGTGGAGGCTGAGGCAAAAATTGCTTGAATCCGGGAAAGGACCGCAGTGGAGCTGAATCACCAGCTGCACTCCAGCCTGCCTCCCCATCGCACACTCCTGCTCAAGCAAAAACAAAACAAAAACAAAAAACAACTCCCCAGTTGAAGTCTACGTGGGGATGGACTGACCTGCATTTTGCCAAAGAGGGCAAACTTTCCTCCTTACCTAGGGGAAGGTGTTACCACACTAGCCCTTCTGTTTCTAGCCCACTTACTTTCCTTTGATATATTTTTATAGACATAGTCACCTTCCCATATGCTCAGGGAACAAGTGACGTTTACCTAGCCTTTTTCTTTGTTTCAGATGAAATAACCAAGACTGAGGACAGACAGTTGGTGCTAAGGAAAGACTGTCCTAAGATAGTGGAACCACATGGGAAAATGTTTAATGAGCAGACCTGGGAGCTATCACAGCAGGATCCCCCACATGGAGAAGTTGGTGAACATACGGATAGGATAGAGAGGCAGTGGGGAAACCTCTTAGGAGAGGGGCAACACAAATGTGATGAATGTGGGAAGAGCTTTACTCAGAGCTCAGGTCTCATTCGACATCAAAGAATTCACACTGGAGAAAGACCTTATGAATGTAATGAGTGTGGGAAAGCCTTCAGTCGAAGTTCTGGTCTTTTTAATCACCGAGGAATCCACAATATACAGAAACGGTATCACTGTAAGGAGTGTGGGAAGGCCTTCAGTCAGAGTGCAGGTCTTATCCAGCATCAGAGAATCCACAAAGGAGAAAAGCCGTATCAGTGCAGCCAGTGCAGTAAGAGCTACAGTCGGCGTTCATTTCTCATTGAACATCAGAGAAGCCACACAGGGGAGCGACCTCACCAGTGCATTGAATGTGGGAAAAGCTTTAATCGACACTGCAACCTCATTCGCCATCAGAAGATCCACACACTGGCTGAGCTGGTCTAGGGCTTGCTATGAGCAAGTTTTCCAGATCACCAGCCAAGTCATGTGGGGTAGCTTGAGGTTAAAAAATACCTCTCTCTTCCTTTCTCCATTAAGTGTGTTTGAAACAAATAATGACTTACGGCCCAGGGACTTCCTAAAAGGAAAGTTGGGTGTTTGAAGCTACTGTTTTCCCTTTTGTTCGTTTTACCTCTTTCTTATTCTTACTAATTGTGTCCCTCTTATTTATTATTTATTATTATTATTTTTTTGAGACGGCTGGTAAACCCTTCTAATAATATAATAAATGGCACTGCCAGAGCCAGCATGCCTGAAAGATTTGGTGTCTGTGTTTAATTACAAAGGATAACAGAGTTCTACTGATGGTTTATCACAACTGGGTCTTTGGTGTTCCCCGTGACCAGGGTCTACACTATAAACACCTTTTCCACCTTACTGCTTCTCTCTGATACCTATGTGACTCTCCCTTGGAAAGTGACCAGCATGGGCTGTGTGTTTCAGTGTCTGCAGTGTGTGTCCACTTACTTAACCATAGTTGGTCCTCACAACAGCCATACAGGGAGATGAGCGTTATCATTATCCCATTTTACAGATGAGGACTCTAAGGCTCAGAAAATCCAGGCATCAGAGCCAAGGCTGAAACCCTGAACTTTTGTTTTTAGTAACGCTTTAATTTTGGAATAATTTTAGACTTATAGAAATGTTGCAAAGATAGAGTTCTTATATTCCCTTCACCTAGATTCCCCTAACGTTAACTTAAAACATCACATCTTTTTAGTTAAACCTTGTCTTTTAACTCCAAATCTCAATTTCTTTACGAAGTCATGCTTCATACTGATATCAGATTTCTACATTTTAGTTACCTGGAACTCCCTCAGAGTTTTTCTATCACAACTTCAGTGTTAGAAAGGGATCTGTATCCTGAGTACCAGGCCACATCAGAGAACTGGATTAATCCAGATAAGATGCTAGCTACTGTCCGAAATGTTGTCAGTCTTTCTCTTCTGTTTGCTTGGCTTAAGTCTAGAGAAAAAAATTTCTTCCCTGTATAGATCTTTAAGAAAGTCGATTGTACGCCAGGCGTGGTGGTACAAGCCTATAATCCCAGAGCTTTCGGAGGCCAAGGCAGCAGTATTGCTTGAGGCCAGGAGTTCGAGACCAGTCTGTGCAACGTAGTGAGACCCTGTTTCTACAAAAAAAAAAAAAAAAATTTAAATTGGCTGGGTGTGGTGGTATGTGCCTGTAGTCCCCAGATAGGAGGTTGAGGTGACAGGATCACTTGAACCCAGGAGTTTGAGATGGCAGTGATCATGCCACTGCACTCCAGCCTGGCCACAGAGAGAGACCCTGTCTCAAAACAAAACAAAACAAAAACCCAGAAACCTTGTCTCAAAAAAAAAAAAAATTCAGTTATGCTGCCTCCATCAGAAAATGTAAAAAGGAAGACAATTTTTTTAAAAACCGGAGAAGACTTACGTAGCCTTAAGTGTTCTGCCCCAGAGGAAACTCTCTCAGTGAAGTTTACTCATGGAGAAGAGGAATCTCCCCTTCTTAGGACTAAAGACTTGAGACTTGAGGTTTTCCAAGGTCCTTTGCCTGCCCTCCCTTACTCCCTTTTATGATTACTAAGGCTGCAACCCCATCTCTGTCCTTTCATCTATTTGATTTAAATGTTCAGAGGTTTCCTGACAGATGGAAAAGGAAAAATGCTGCAATTTGCTTAGGATGAGTCCATACACAGTTGAGTTTTGCACTGTTTTCAGTAACTGCTAAATGTTTTGCAGAGCAGCCGACTCTTGAATTGGGGATTGTATAATTTAACTTTTTTATGTAAGATTCAGACAGAAGTGGAATAGCATAGTGAACCCCATGAACTTGTTGACGAAAAGAGTCAAACTCTCTAAAATATTTGAAGAGACTTATTCTGAGCCAAATGCAAGTGACCATGGCCTGTGACACAGCCCTCAAGGGGGTCCTGAGAACATGTGCCCAAGGTGGTCAGGGTACAGCTTGGTTTTATATATTTTAGGGAGGCATGAAACATCAATCCAATACATTTAAGAAATAGATTGGTTTGGTTCAGAAAGGCGGGATAACTCAAAGCATGGGCTTCCAGGCTATAGGTAAATTTAAACATTTTCTGGTTGACAATTGGTTGAGTTTATCCGAAGACCTGGGATTAATGCAAAGGAATGTTTAGGCTAAGAGAAAGGATTGTGGAGATTAAGTTTTATCATACAGAGGAATCTCTCAGGTAGCAGACTTCAGAGAGAGAGTAGGTTGTAAATGTTTCTTTTTTCTTGTTTCTCCACTGAATGAGTGGCCAAGGAAGTTGGATTTTAAGTCAAAACCCTTAGCAACACTTTCCCATCAGAGGGAAAATAAATTACCTAATACTTAGCATCACATAAAAATGCCACAAAATATCAGCTTAAACTAAGATGCTCATTTCTCCTTTTGCATCAGGAAAAAGTTTTACACATTGTAGGGAAGCCTAAGAAGAATTTTTGTGTCATAGTAGGTTTAAAGGATAAACTCCAGGATCATCTGACAGAAATGTTAAATATAATACCTTCCTATACCAAACAAATGGTATGGGAATTACTTATTCATGATGACATTAATCGTCTTGAGTGAGTTAAAATTCAAAAATTTAAATGTTAAAGTAGCCTCTTCTCTTTTTTTTGTTATGTCTTAATACCACATGGTATAGTTGAAAAAAAGGAGTGGACCAGGAGTTGGGACCCTTGAGATGGAGTCTATGCCTAATCAATTCTAGAGTTTGGACCTTGGATAAGTCACTTGGGTTGGGTTTCCTAGAAGCGGAGCCTAGGCATGGATTCAAGTCTAGGGAATTTATTGAGGCAAAATAAGCTGCAGAAAAAAAGCTGCAAGGCAGAGAGGGAAGCAAGATATGGAAGAGGAAATGAGCTGAGCAAGATGTGGTCTGAGCTTAAGTCTAGTTTAGTGTAATTTGGAAGAAGGATCTTTGGAACAAACCTTACCCTTGTAAGATACAAAAGGGGCCAGCCTTTTGTACCTCGATCAGTGCCTTGTGGATTGGGGACTTCCTGGAGATAATAGATTATCTCCCTTTTCCAAGGACAATTCTTCAGAGAAGGTGAAGACTGTGAGCCAGTAGCAGCCAGTGCTCCTGATAATCAGGGAATGGGTGCACTGACCTTCCTGGCAAATGGAGAATGGGTGTACTGACTTGGAAAAGGGGACCTGGGCAGGATACCACTGGCATCCATCACCACACTTAACCTCTCAGGCCCCAGTTTCTTCACTTATCCTCCTATTTGCAGGATTGTTTTTGAAAAACAGCAGCTAGCAATTACAGTCCTATAAATGACAGGGATACATCCTGAGAAATGTGCTGTTGTATGATTTTTGTCACTGTGCAAGCATCATAGAATGTACTTACACAACCTAGATGATATACCCTACTACGCACGTAGGGTAGGTGGTATAGTCTGTTGCCCCTAGGCTGCAAACCTGTACAGCATGCTACTGTGTTGAATACAGCAGACATTTGTGGCACAGTGCTGTATTTGTGTATCTAAACATAGAAAGATGTAGTAAAAATGCAGTATGAAAGATAAAATGGTATACCTGTATAGGACACCATGAATGCAGTCTGTAGGACTGGAAGTTGCTCAGGATGAGTCAATGAGTGAGTGAAGAGTGAATGTGAAGACATTATACTACTCTAGACTTTATAAACATTGTACACTTTAACTATACCAAATTTATTTTTAAAATATTTGTTGACACCATCACTACAAACACATGAATAATGCATTGCGCTAAGCTGTTAAGATAGCTACAGTGTCACTAGGTGACTGAAACGTTATGTGGCACATGACTATATGAAAGGACAATGCAATCTATAAAATGCTGCATCAAACAAATAGAAGGAGATATTACCAATTTTGCATATAATATGCCAAGGTAAAAGGAGTATCTGACATACTGGTGAGAGAGTTTTAAGTTGAAGTTTTTGTGAGACGTTTTCTTTTGCCTCATTTTTTTAAAAAGTGTATTACAGACTGTACTCACATGGGTTTTAAAAGTAAATTAATATTAAAAAGTAAAGGTTTCTGTATTAAATGAAATTCTCCATTTTTTATATATGTCTCTACCCAACCTAATCATTTAATCATACGTAAATTCCATTTGTTCTGCAACAGTCTCTCAACTAATCCATCTAAATGTTCTTTGATCCTAACTTCTTTCCTTCCCTGCTCTTCCCACCCCGCCTCACTACCTCTATTCTGCTCTCAAAACATCTCCCTCAATTGTTTCTTTAGCTCTGTTTGAGAACTAACATTGAATTTTAAAAATAACATTGTTGTGAATAAGGAGAGTTTTATTTCTTCCCTTCCTTATTTCCCTTTCTTGTCTTGATGCAGTGGCCAATCTCTCCTGGACAATGTTGGGTAGAAATCATACTAATAGTCATCTTATTCCTGATTTTGAATGGATTCATCTATGATTCATATCATATTTGTTGTGAGTTTCTGATAATTATCCTCCATAATATTAAGAACATTCCCATTTAGTCCTCATTTACTAAAAGTCTTTCTCACAAATGGGTATTGAATTTTATCAAATAATGTTTCTGCATCTGTTAAAATGATGGTATAGTGTTTCCTCCTTTGATCTTAATGTGAACTAACAGATTTTCTGTTGTTAAAATATCAGTTTTTCGAGTTTGTTAACTATTCAAATTTTTCTATAGCCTAAGTTTTTGTTTGCCCTCTGAATTTTTTTTTTTTTTTTGGTGGGGGGACAGAAACTTGCTCTGTCAACCAGGCTGGAATGCAGTGGCATGATCTCAGCTCACTGCAACCTCAGCCTCCTGAGTGGCTGGGAATACAGGCCTGTGCCACCATGCCTGGCTAATTTTTGTATTTTTAGTAGAATTGGGGTTTCATCATGTTGGCCAGGTTGGTCTTGAACTCTTGGCCTCAAGTGATCCGCCTGCCTTGGCCTCCCAAAGTGCTGGGATTACAGGTGTGAGCCACCCCACCTGGCCTGATCTATTGATTATTGGGAGAGGTTTGTTAATACTTTGCTGTGGGGAAAAGACTTGTCAATTTCTCCTTGTATTATGTCAATTTTGCTTTGCATATTCTAAGGTTATGAGTTGAGGTATACAGAAGTTCAGGAATTGCGTGTCTTCTTGACATGCAAATAAATCTTGAGGAATTATTCCTTTAATCATGATGTTTTTATTGCTAACAATGCTTGTGTGGTCTGATATTAATGTAACTAGGCCAAAATCTTTTAGAGATTATTAGCCTCGTATCT